AGGCCTATGATTTGATGAAGCCAAAATAGTTTTTCTGAGTTATGAGCAGAAATACTTGACCCCAAACGTCGGGCTATATATCAAATTGAAGCTATTGAAAATTGCTATTCGGTGTGGAAATTTCAAGACTTCAGCGAAAAGAAAAGTATTTAAAAAATACGAAAACAACTGCAAAACGGCAAATTATCGGTAATTATGTTTGTAGTTTTTCAATATTTCCCTTTTAGCTAAAGTCTTGAAATTTCTACACCAAATAGTGTTTTTCAATAGCTTCAATTTGATATATAGCCCAACGTTCAGTGTTGAGTATTTCTGCTCATAACTCAGAAAAACTAAAATGCACTGGCTTCAATCCCCCCCCCTGAATTAGCCTTCCAGTTTATTTATAGTTCAATGCATGCGGCTAAATCAAAGAATGCACATTTGCCCGACGCCATCTTGAATTCCGCGCAATCGGTTATGATCATTGAACTAAAATATATGGAACGCTACCTTAACTGAACATGCCCAGAATTGCCTGAAGCCAGATTTTACCTCCAGACACGCGTGTCTGGAGGTAAAATTCACGCGCGTTGTCGCGTTTCCTGCGTGGCGCCGAAGAACAGCGACAGCCAACCAACATGCATTATAGCAACATGTGATTGAAAAGGTTTTGAAAAGGAAGGCAATCGGTTAAATTTGCATTCAATACAGTACGAATCATGGCTTTTCATACGTGTATTCGATCGGTAAATCGGGGAAATGAAACATTTTTCGTTCAAATTGAATGTGTAGACAAACGACATGGATCAGAGATTCAGAGTGGCATTGTAAAGTTGTAAACACGTAAGTGCCTTTACTAAATTTATTAAATATGCATGAAGCTCAATCGCATCTGCAACTGAGTAACTGAAATTGTACGTGATTTGAGGACAGTTTGTTTGCCAGGTTCAACCCTTGTTCTTGAATATTCTGAAGCTCTTCGATATGTTTCCATCTTATGATGTTGTCATTTCCATCAATAAAGCATCCCATGAACAGAGACCAGGGCCGAGTATCACAAAGACATCTTTGGTTGTTGGATTCTTAAAAGAGCTTTTGATGGATTCATAGTTACCAGAAAATTTGCAACCCAGTGTTTCGAATGTACTGATGTTAACAGCTGTGCCATCAGCTGTTACTGACCACACTTTTAGATTAACATTTGCAGCTTTTTCAAGACACTTTTTACCAGTGTGGCTTGGTCCTTTGCATTCATTTTATCAGCCAAGAGGTATCCCACTGGACATTTCTAATGACTTCTGGTGCCTGCCAGAAGAAAAACCAAACCTTCTGTGGCCAATTTTTCTAAATGTTCATTAGGAATCTCATTTCCAAAGTCTACAGATCCATAGGAGTCTTTTTCTGGATTCCAAATGGTTTGTTTTTGGATACACATTGCATTGCGTCTATTGCCAAACAGTAATCTTTGTCAGTATTTGATTGGGCTAGGCTCGGCTGATAATGCTTACCTCAACCACAGAATACTACACAGACGTCCATCTCCATTGTTTTTTGCATAAGCGTTATTCGTCATGATTCGTCACTCAGCAAGTACCGTAAACAGAAGCAGTCACCCCCCTGGACATGCACCATTTTTAGTATTTCCAGAGGGGACTGCTTCTGTTTACGGTACTTACTGAGTGATGAATCATGACGAATAGAGCTTACGCAAAAAAACAATTGAGATGGACTTCTGTGTAGTAATCTGTGCCTCAACCTTCTGAGAAAAGGATGAGAATGCCTCATCAATAAAGCCTGGATCACACTTGAATGAGGAATATATATTTTTTGCTGTAATTTTGTGTGTAATTCATCACTAGAGGCACATCTTGGTCTTTTTTTCTGAAATTGAAGGATCATTTTCATGTGCTGGACATGGTCTCGTGGTCTGTTTTTCTGTTTAATTCCTCATCATGTGCTGTTAATGTTGGTGGGTCAGAATGTACAGGTGAACCAGATGGAAAAGCATTTTTTTGAGTCGACATGTGTTGTTGGATGAAGGAGGCAAGATATAATCATATGCTGCTGCATATACGACTGTATCTTGCTGCATATACGACTGTACTGGTTGACTTGTCATGGCTTTTTATTAACTTTTTGCACATTATTCTCGCAACATTTTTGTAAAGCATTATTTTTCAAAAAAAATCCATAACAATAATTATAATTTTTATGTAAATTCAGCTTAATTGTCACCCTTCTGTCTGTCTGCTTGTCTTACTTATTCTTGTTTTTTTGTTGTAGGTGATGTACACATGTCAAAAGTAAAAAATCAGAAACAAGTTTTGCTTCTCGGGAAACAAGAATGTTTCCTACCAAGTTCAGAC